CTCTTCCTCTTATTTCGATAAATAACCAAATTAAAAGAAACATCCCAAAAGGGTTAGGCCCACTTTTTTCAGGTAAGTGGACTCTTTATGCTCAAAACCTTGATTCAAGCAGTCATTTATTTGGCACTTCCCAAGGAGCAGGAACTGCCATTCTAACCCTCTTCGGGGGACTCCATCCTCAAACACAAAGTTTATGGCTGACCAATATTTGCTCATCATCATTTAGCTATTGCATTTATTTTTCTTATTTCCAATCATGGAAAAGAGAATTTTTTTCCTTCCCCTCCAACTTTCTTATAACTAAATAGAAAATTTTTTTCTTTCTCCCTCTTCTCCACCCAAACATATCATTAATCATTTTTCATGAAATTATTTACACTAAAATATTTATCATCAAAGCAAGAAAACTATTATTGCAAACTTTTAAATTACAAAAATTGCTCTTAGCCTCTTGTAATTGCACCAAACCAGAAGTCCTTCTTCAGTCCGCATCTTCACTTCGGATGTACCTGCAAAGCCCCGAGGTGGGTCCTCGGGGTAGACACTCCGATGCTTAAATCAACAATAATCGGGGCTACCTCTAGGGTGGAGATAAAAAGAGCTTAAGGTTGGTTTCAATTACCTTTCTAAGGTGGCCCCTGGAGGTATTTATAGGCCTTTGTGAGGTATCCACGTGGCTTGCTTAGCAGGATAATCGGAGTGTGACGTGTTCCTTAAGGAGATAAATTCGGGACCGGGAAATTAAGAGAAATTCTGGTGTGGGCATGCTCACCGTAACTGTCATGCAGCTGTTTGACTAGGAAGTGCTTCACTTCGATTATTAAGGAATTATAGCAGTACGTCCGAGGTCCTTAACCTCGGACATATCCTTACACTATTCCCCCCTCGAAGTCATTCACTTGTGAATGATTAGTGTGGAAGATGAGTGTAGACGGGGGTAGTCAATATAAAAATGTATGACATGAAGTTGTGTTTTTGGCTATAGTCAAGGTAAAAATGCATGACATAGAGTCATGTGTTTTGGGTCGTAGCCAAGGAAAAAATGCATGACATGGAGTCATGTGTTATAGCCGTAGCTGAAGTAAAATTGCATGACATGGAGTCATGTGTTATGGCCGTAACCGAAGTAAAATTGATGACTCAATCATTGTGGCTAGAGCCAAAGTAATATAGGTGACCTGTGGTCACTATGGCTAGAACCGAAGTAAAATAGGTGACTCGGGGTCACTATGGCTAGAGCCGAAGTAAAATAGGTGACTCGGGGTCACTATGGCTAAAGCCGAGGTAAATAATGATGATTGGAGTCATAGCGGCCGGAGCCGAAATAATAAGTAATGACTGAAGTCATGTGGCCGGAGCTGAGGTAATAAGTAATGACCGGAGTCATGTGGCCGGAGCCAAGGTAATAAGCAATGACCGGAGTCATAAGGGCTGGAGCCGAAATAAAAATAATGATTGAAGTTATGTGGTTGGAGCTGAAATAAAATGTGTGACTCGAGGTCACTGTGGCCGTAGCTGAAGTAAAGATGCATGACCCATAGTCATGTGTTATGATTGTAGCGGAGAATGATGACTTGAAAATGACGATTCGAAAGTGACGATTTGCAATCTCATGAGCCATAATAATGGAAGTCAGGCTTTTGAGAGTCATGCTTTATAGAGCTAGGATCAAAACCAGTTTTTGTAGAGTTGATTGAATGCCAATTTTGGTAGCTAGAGATGCCTACCACAGAATCCCACCTTAAGATGCCCATAAGAAAATCTTAGTCTCTCGAGTCATAGCATAAAATCAAACCCCTTTGAGGGTTGTGCTTTGTAGAGTTAAGATTGAACCGAGCTTTCATAGAACAAATGAGCTAAGAAACTGATAGTTGATGGACGCAAGCTCTTGTAGATCGAATGGGCTAAAAAAGCCAATAGCTAATGGGCTCAAAGGCCAATAGTATTTTCTGATGAACTGATAAGTTTAAAAGCTAATAACATATTTCTAAGTCTTCCAAGCCAAGGAGTTAACAAACTCATGAGACCTGTAAGAATTAATTCTAAACATAGAACTTGACAAGATACCATTAGTTCATCAATAATCAACAATACATGAAATGCATCAACATTAAAGTGGCACAATAATTTAGAATTAAATATAAATGTCTGTGGCATGAGTCATCAAAATAAACAATAATAAGATATGAATATTTAAAATATACTCAGGTTGATTTATTCAAGCAGCAAATTAAACACATGCCAAGTAAAGTATAGAGGTTTATTTTTGTTGCTTATGTTTATGTATTCCCACTCCCCCTCTCAAAGAGAGATTTATCTCTTTAAGTTAGAACTAATAATAAAGACCACTAGCTCGTGGATACCATTTGTAGGAGGCTCCACAAATGTATAAATAAATGTCATTTAAGCCACTCACTTTTAGTTAAAACATGAAGAATATATTCTAGCCCTCCTTCTAGCGCCATTATATTCAATATATTCAATAAATAGAGGCTTAGCATATCTTATTAATTAATGGCCCATGAGAGGTGGAACAGGATGGCTAGTGGAATGGCAAGTTGGCTGCAAGCTTGCTGACTTGAAAAGTTGGCGAAGTAAACCAACTAGCTATAAGTTGAGATCTCTAGAGTAGATTCGAAATGATTAACATGGCTTTAGGAGGCTAAGTGCCAGTGTTTTAGATTTCTTTTTAGTTTATTGTATGCTTGTTCTAATAGACTACAGCCCACAAGGCCTCCACGCTATATAAAAGTTCATAATATATATATATTCTTCATTGGGTGTTTTAGAAATTTTACTAGGTGACATCCTTGAATGTCTCACCTAACTTCATGGATCACCTTGGCTATTATATTGAAATATTTCAAGGTTTTCCTTATATTAACTAATCAACTAGACCTGAGCTTGGTTGTCATAAGGATGAGCTCAAGTAGTTGAGTTCATTTGAGATTGTTTACCTCATCCAAGGTAGTTTACCTCGAAATGGGTTGGCATGAGTATGAGCTCAAGTAGTTGAGTTCATCCAAAAGTGTTTACCTCATCCAAGGTAGTTCACCTTGGAATGGGTTGTGAGGATGAGCTCAAGTAGTTGAGCTCGAATTGAACTCATCCGAGGTTGTTTACCTCATCCAAGGTATTTCACCTCGGAATGGGTTGTGAGGATGAGCTCAAGTAGTTGAGCTCGAATTGAACTCATCCGAGGTTGTTTACCTCATCCAAGGTGTTTCAACTCGAAATGGGTTGTGAGGATGAGTTCAAGTAGGTTTTATGAACTTGTTTAAGTTCCTAAGTCACCACATGAAGTTCCTGTTGTTAAAGTCCAAGGCTAACCATATTATATGATAAGGGTATAGATATATACACATATATTTCTTAAGCTCAGTATCATAGTTAATAGTTGTAATTAAAGTAAATTATGAAGCTGCACTTTTTAATCATAGGTTCCTATTAGAAGTCATAATGATGACTCTTCTCCCCTCTAAACCCGCACATTGGGGCTGGTAAACATAAACGTTGTAATCATAAATTACATTAGTTGCATTTTTATGCTTTAACATGTCCAATAAACAAGCAGTCATGCATGTTGTAATAATAAGTCTTTCTAGCTTGTAAATATAAGAACAAAAATTGGACATGCAAAATAACTCATAAAAATCTTAAATGTGCAAAGTAATTTTGAAAATTTTAATATGTAACACTTACTTTACTTGCAGAGCAGAATTAATTTATACTTGAGAAAGAATTGTGCTTGATGAGATAGGAACTCGAGAAAGAATTTAGCTTCTTACGAATGATGTTAAATCCTTCTTGCTATGACTCGAGCAAATGTGGAGAGAAAAAATCTAGCCTCTCATAAATGATGCCAGAGAAGAAATTTACTTGATCATCTTCGTAGGCTATTGAACTTTATGGTTAGGGCCCGTAGCCTTTTAAAATTGGATGGAGGAGTTGTTTATAGCCCGTATATAATTTTGATAGAGGAGCTCATCATAAAGGGATTTCTCTAGAACCCACCCCACATGGAGTCCCTGCACTTTTCCATCTCTAAAATAGCAACATATATTTATAATCATAAGTGTAAATGAGCAAAGTAGCATGATTATGATATATAAAAAATGAGATGGCAAAATGATATTATGAATGCAAAAACAAGTGCAGAATGAATGGAAAAATGTGGAATGAATGTAAAGAATGTGGAAAGCAATTAATAATAAATTTTAATAAGATTAGACCAAGCTTGGACCAAAGCTCTAATTTGCTGCGGAGCTCAATTGCTTTCTTGACAACCTGTATCACAAGGACTTGAAAAGAGGAGAAATTAAAGCATCCAGTCTTATAATCAAGAAAATATATTGTGTAAAATAAATAAGAGAAAAAGATTGTGAGTTCATCGTTTTTAATTTTCAAAGCAATACATGACTAATGAATTAAATTTATATACATATTAATGTAGAATCTATGCCTCGATATTATTGATATTTGAATGAGTTGTATGAAAATTTACGTAATTGTATATAACATTCATTCTATGTAGAAAAGGATTTAATTAGAAGATGTCATAATTCTTAAGAATAAATTGCAAAGATATGAAATTTGAGGATTAAATTATGCAGAATCCAAAAGTAAGGGGTCGGGACTGTAATTTTACCGTTAACAAAATTTGCAAAGAAGGACAAAAACCCGACACGGACTCTTCCGGACGAATGCAGGAAAAGTGTCGGTACCTTGTTGAGGGTGTTGACACCTTGCAGCTCGTGCTGCATATCTTTCAACTCATGCTCGTCCTCTGCACCTCGTGTTCAAGTTCTGCACTTCATGCTCGGCCTCTGCAGCTCGTGGCTGACCTTGGCAGTTAAGTGTTTGACCTCTACAGCTCGTGCTTGAGTTTTGCGCTTCGTGTTCGACCCCTGCACTTCGCACTCGACCTCTGCAGCTCATGCTCAACCCCTGCACTTTGTGCTCAACCTCTGCAGCTCATGTTTGAGCTTGGCAGCTCGTTTGGAGCCCTGCAGTTCATGCTTAACAGCTTGTGCTATACAACTCGTGCTCAGCAGCTCAAAAGATCTTGCCTGAGTTCTGCATCGTGCTTGTGAGCTCGGCAACTTGTGCTTTTGAACTTAGCAGCTCGCAGCTCATGTTCTTGCAGTTCGCTTCTCATGCTCCTGCAATTCCCAGCTCGTGTTGCAGCAGGGACTTTACAGCTCGTTATTGTCAAATTTCCACGGGATAATAACTCCAAATGGCTTGCTCGTTATAGCTCGTTATTCACAGCTTTATTGGCAAATTTTTCAAGCCTCTAAATGGTTCGGTGATGCTACGTGGGCGGTTGAATGCCTCTGCTCTCAACTGAGCATGAGATAAGACTACTGGCTTCTCAGAGCAGCATGTGTGTTCCCGGTAGTGGTTGAACTGTCATCTTGAAGGGTGGTCTCCAGCACCTCCAGAGCTTCCATCTCTAACACTACCATCAGCGTTTTCTGTCATTGGAACCATAGTCTTTTGCTCCCTAACAGCTGATTGGAGGGATTTATTTTGTTACTGACAAACTGCCTAGTCAAGACTTATCCCTTGGATTCTGCAAAAACAAATTCAAAATAGAGGGAGGTTAAGATATGTGTCCCCAATAATCACAAAGTGGTAACCAAACTCAAATGGTTTATTGCCCAAGGAGGATGCTTGTGGTTGCAAGCCGAACTAGGAGAATGCTTGGTGCTGCTGAGCTGGGCGACTATTTTGTCGCTGCCGAGCTGTAAGAATGCTTCTCGTTGCCGAGTTGGGAGTTCTTCATGAGCTGAGGACAATGGTATTCGAGCAGCTCGGACTTTGATGACGAGGTCGGAGAGCTTAAGGGGTTGGTGGATGGTGCAGGTGGCGGCGAACCCCGGCCTCCTCCATTGATTGAACTCTGTTGATCACGTCTCGTCTGAGCTGTGCTTGTTTCACTCCGGCTCTGCTATCCTACACGGCGAACCTCCAGCCTCCTCCATTGATTGAACTGTGTTGACCACGGCACCTCTGATGTAATTTACTTCACTCCGTCATTGCCACTAGGAGAAGAATCGTCGCTAATCTCTGGCATTTTTGCTTGGAATTGGTTCTGAATCTTCAGCATGGAAGAATTCAAGAGGGTCATTCGGCAGTCTGGACCACCTGAGTGTTTTACTCTTCAGGCAGTTCAAGAAGTTATAAAACCTCAGAAACAAATAAAATTAGCATGGGATGAAATCAATTGCTGGAGAATATGCTTCGGACATTACTCCA